TCTGAGGGGACATTCTGAGGGTGCAGGTGTTTGGCTGTAGCTAACCTCCCTGTTCTTTAGGTTTAACCCCCTCCCTGCCCCACCGGCTCACACGGAATGCTCTCTGCTTGCTGAGAGACAGAAAAAAAGCCTCACTGGGCTTAAGTGTGTCATGGCGTCAGATATCTGTGCTTGTGAGGACATGCAGAGTCGCTAATGAAGTTGTGAGTGAGGAGATCAGGGACTCCCTGCCTCTTACCATTGGTGTCTATACCCTGTAATCCCATAATAATATGCAGCCTTAGGCTTATAAAGGTCGGCTGACGATTGCGTTCCCTCATGCAGTTATTACTTCAGATTGACTGGATATTATATGATGATGCTATATAATGAAATTCTTGAAAACATCACCTTTTTGTGAGCTCAGTCTTCTCAATCAGTGGTTGAATAGATCTGGTCTGCAAGGTGGTGGCAGGTGTCTGGTGTCCTGCGTTGGTCTTAATGGAGAGAGAATTTGGTAAGTGAGAGGAATCGAAGAGCAAACTTTTTAAATCTCACTCTGTTCCGCGGGGTACGTCTTTAATGAAAGTTCTTCATCAGATTACGTAAAGAGTGAGTGAGTTTTGGATCCCAGTACTGTAGCACATGAAGCCTGAGGTCACCGACGGTCTCATGCCAACATTAAAGATGGGCTGAGTGAGTTTTGTAAATATGCTCTTCGATTTCGAGAACCGATCCGCATTGTTCTGCTGGCAGTGTCTGTGGCCTTCTGGTGTTACACGACGGCCACGGAGGTGTAGCGTTTCTCCAAAGCGGTGGGGGTGACCCCTGCCTGCTTCCCGCTCGCCTTGCAGAGCCCACGGTGCGGGCCGAGCTGATGGAGCAGGTGCCTCACATCGCCATCTTCTGCCAGGAGAACAGACCCTCCATCCCCTTCGCCTTCTCCAAGTACCTGCTGCCCATAGTGGTGAGATACCTGGCTGACCAGAACAACCAGGTAGGAGCCTCCCAGTGACCCCCCCCCCCATCTTTGCTTCTGACTCGGTGCAACTTTAACAGATGGTGCCAGTTGAAGTCATGATGCATAATATGCTGACAGAATTAGTGTTTTGTGTATATCGTGGTATTTTGAAATATTGACTAGATGCACCGATTTGCAATTTTCTTGGCTGATTCAGTTTTTTTTTTTTTTGCAAGTGTGACTGGCCGATTAGATTTTTGCCGATTCTGATTTTGTAAGCACTATGATTGACAGCTTTGTCATAGTGGCTGCGGATTCCCTTGCCGTCGTATTCTTTGCACATGCTCGCCCGAACTAACGGCAAAGTCACATGGCCTAAGTTAGCTACTCATCTGCAGCTTCCAACTCGTTCAGCTTTTTATTCGTGGCGTCTTATTTCATGGTTTAAGTTATTCCCACCTTCCTCAGAGGGGAGTGTTGACAGCGGTACATGCTGCGCAGTTTACAGGCAAGTCATTTTGAAAATATGAAATAAAATATGAAAAAAAAATTTAAGATGTGGCACACACATTTCTGTGGGTATGCCATTGTAAGGAAGCACTGAGATTAACCTGGCCCAGACTATCATATTTCCAGCTGGGTAGCATGTAAAACTTCTCTGTCGCATTGCTAATTTCAGTGTTATTGTGGCATGCCTGCTGTGTACCAAGCATTTCATGTTTGCCGTACCCAAGGTGAATATGACCTCCACATTCCATTTGGGAATGTGACTTCTTATTCAAATCACTGTGTACAATTGCTCAGTGTCATGCGACCAGTTTACTGTTGAGAAAGAAATCACATTATGTCTGGGTAATTCCGCATTTTCATTATAGGGAGACTTCATACGTTATTTCCAAAATGTCTTGTAAAAACTGCTGCACGTGTCGTTTTGCCATTAGTTTGCGCGACTGTACAAGAAACACGACAATCGTCCATGACTGGTAAATTAAAATCCAGGTGATGCTACTTCATTTTAATTTTAATTTTGGCAGGATTTTTTGCACAATGACTTTGAAAATTAAATGGCAAAGTTTGTTCATTTTATTCAAATTTTCACATAAAATACCATAAGATGACGACATTGACCTTTTTCTCTTGTCTTAAAGTCCATTTGTTACTAACCTCCAAATGAAACTGAAGTGTAGCACAGCTGCAGGGTATGGCTGGGTGACATCACCTCAAATCAATATCAAAATTAAACGTTTTGCAGCAGATTACGATGTTTTTTTGCCCTGATATTTCAAGGTTTGTACTGTGAATATGCCCAACCATTAAAGCTGAGATTTATACAGTCTTTCATTAGAAAAATCTTTTATGATTTTAAAATAATTGCAGGAAACACAGATGAACCATTCATGGTCATTGCATAGTTTTAACAATTGAAATAAAAGCACAAATCGCTTGAAATGAAAACGTCTTACGAAAGAGGTCACATGTTCCTTTTTTATGTAAAAAGGAAGTTCCCTAAAGAAGTAGAAAATACATAGATTATTTTGTTTGCAAAAAATGCAGTGATCTCATTTGGGTGTAATTAATCACTATAAGCAGATGAACATTATAACCAATTTTCTTTTCCTTTGTCTTGGGCAGATTGCCATCTAATTAACATTTGTATATTTATTACATGAATATAAGGTAATAAAATGTAGATTACAGGTCCTGAATCCCGATTTTGATTAGTTTTCAATGAATTGACGTGCCCTTCGTGTGGCGCATGTGTGAAAATGATCAGCTCGGTATTGGGACTGATCTGGCCGAGGACGCTGAAAACCAGCCAGTTCTGGTCCCTGGTTGATCGCAAATGGGGTAGTTGGACTTGTCATTTGGTGAAGTATATTGTGGGGAACCCACTGTATGTCTGGATAGTATGTAGAATGAGGTACTGCCCAAGCCCACTTTAAGGCCGTGATTATTGATATAGATCTAATGCATCCCCCTCGCTTTGAATTAAGAGCATAAGACTGCAGGTCTTACAGAACAATTTATTCAGTCATTTTTTGAAAAGTTTGAATTCCCTGTATAATCCTTAAAAACAGTGATGAGATTTTGTTTAACTTAAGTGTTGCTGACTTTGAACAGCCGGGGGCATCGTGGTTAAGGGGTATGCATATAGCGATGTGTCCCTGCCCCCCCCCCCAGGTGAGGAAAACGAGCCAGGCTGCACTTCTGGTGTTGCTGGAGCAGGAGCTTATCGAGCGTGTCGACATCGAGAGCCAGATCTGCCCTGTACTGGTAGACCTTACGGCCCCAGATAGCAACGATGACGTCAAGACTGAAGCCATGGCGGTGAGCTGGGGGCTTGTGTGTGGCTGGGGGGGGGGCGGAGTCTGCCAGGGTGCCCGTTTCTCCACTGGGTCCACCTGACCCTGTGCTGCCCGGCCGTAGATCATCTGCAAGATGGCGCCCATGGTGGGGAAGGACATCACAGAGCGCCTCTTCCTGCCGCGGTTCTGTGAGATGTGCTGCGACTGCCGCATGTTCCACGTGCGCAAGGTGTGTCCCTCTCTACCACCCCTCTACCACCTCTACCACCCCTCTACCACCTCCTTTTCTAAAACCCGTGAGGTACAGGTGCTGGTGGGCTCCTCCTGAGCTGTCCAATGACGGCCCGTTTTGCCTTGTTTTTCCCGCTCAATGACAGCACTTGTTATTGGCTTGTCCCTGTCAGGTGTGCGCAGCCAATTTTGGGGACATGTGCAGCGTGGTTGGGGGTGAGGCGACCGAGGAGCTGCTGGTATGTCTGTTACCGCAGTATTTCAGTTTTTGAAGTTGTGTAAAAGTTTAATGTTCAGTTGGAAGTGTTCTCTGACCTCCCCCAAATCTTCCTTCCCAGTTGCCCCGCTTCTTCCAGCTCTGCTCCGACAACGTGTGGGGTGTCCGCAAGGCTTGTGCAGAGTGCTTCATGGCCGTCTCCTCCGCCACCTCTCAGGACGTGCGCCGCACCAAGCTGTCCTCACTCTTCATCAACCTCATCAGCGACCCGTCCCGCTGGGTCAGTCTGCGTGCCCGGGCGTGGGGGGTGCCCTTTGTACTGATGCTCCATTCCTTTGTTATAACTCATTAGTTCACTTCAACACCCCTTCCTTTGGTGAGATAATCTTTATTGGTGGTGGCAAGCGGCTCAGCAGGTTGGTGATCAGAAGTTTGTAGGTTCAAATCCCACGGCAAGCAGAGTGATTTCGCTGTTAGGCCCCTGAGCAAGGCTCTTAAACATCAGTTGCTCCAGGCACTGTCTGACCAGAAAAAGTTCTTGGTTTAGTTAATGAATTACATTTACATGTTAGCAGAGTGAGAGGATTCTTGCTTTTTGAATAAGATGAGGCCCAAGTTTGTACTGTAGGAGATCATTTCTAGTAAGACTGATCGCTCAGTGCTGCCCCCTTCAGGACACAGCACAGGCCCTCAGTTCACCCTAATGATCCGAGGGAGTTCAGTCATGGATGCTCACTCCTGCTTCGGTACTACGTCGTGTACGCTATGTTACCTTAGGCTGATCGCGGAGCGCCTTTTCCCTGCCAGGTGCGACAGGCCGCCTTCCAGTCCCTTGGCCCGTTCATCTCCACATTTGCCAGCCCCTCCAGTGCTGGCCAGTACTTCAGGGAAGAGGGGGGGGATGGCACACGCACCTGTCCCCCCAGCAGGTATGCCCCCTAACCCTGCCTGTATATTTTCATAAATAGCATCCTAACTTCCGCATTACATGCTGCTAATCCTCTAATCTGGGCTGGAAATAAACATAGTTTAATGTGCTGGTCCTGCCTGAGATGTCACTTGGTTTCTGGTGGAATTTAGTATCCAAACAGGCTTTTAGGTTGATAGCAAGTTCATAGCAAGCCAGGCAGTGACCACCCCCATCTTCACGTGATATGCCAAAAAGTCCTTCTGTTATGAGATCTTTGTATTTAGGCCCTCAAACCCAAGACCTAATTCAGCCCCTGTCATCCCACAGTGGGGAAGCTTCAGAGACTGCAGTGAGCAAGCCTCCAGTCAGTCTAAATGCAGAGGCAGCCTCCGATCAGCAGGGGGCGACGTTGAGCCTGGACTCGGACTGCTCGCTGGATCTCACCCAGGAATACCCCTACTCGGAGGTGCCAGATCACCAGCCCCACTGTGATGTGGAGGCACCAGGCTGCTGCAGGACGGAGGAGAGCAGTGTGGACCTTGGGGTGGAGGGTGGAGGGGAGCAGGCAGCTGAGGCTCTAGCGTCGGACGTCTCGTGCGACGCGGAGGCTGAGCCAGATCCGGATCCTGACCCAGATCCGGTTTTTGGGGATGTTGATGGGGGTGAGGCCTCTTACTTGGATGCGGTGGAGAATACGACCATAGCAGAGGATCGGGATACGGCCGCCCCTGCCGAGGCGGTCCCGGGGGCCGTCCCTGAACAGGAGCTCTACAACTCCTTCCATTACTGGAGGACTCCTATCCCCAACATTGACATAGACCTGGAGTTACAGGAGGATCAGGGCCCAGAGCGAGCAAGCACCAGCCCACCTGGGCACCAAGGGGCCCCTTCCCTCGGCCGGAAGGAGCTCGAGGAGATGATTGAGAACCTTGAGCCGCACATAGACGATCCCGACGTGAAAGGTGAGTCACGGGTAACCAACTCCCCATAGACCAATGGGGAATCAGCAGCAGTCCAGGTTATGACTTAACAGCTCAGATAACAGGTCCCTCAAACTTCGTTTTGATCAGGTTCGGTGGTCCAGACATTATGCCGCTTTATATGGTATTTTGAAGGAGTAACATTATGGCAGTACAGTGGTACCTCGGTTCTCGAACTCACTAGAACTCGAATTTCTTGAAAGGCGAACAAACCAGTTTGACCTAGAACTCAATCTGAATATCAGAAGTCGAACCGTGAACGCTGACCTAATATAAATTGTACGCGCCAGGAAATGAGTCACAAGGCACGTATCTGAGCGGAAACAAAAGGTAACGCTCAGTGTCAGCCTCGCATTTGCTGTAGTAGTAGCGCTTGTTGGTGATACAGTATTTTCAATAAAATAGCATTATCAGGTAATACACTGTACTTTATATCATTTTGTTAGCCATTGCTCACCAAAAAGTTACGTAATAGTTGTACAAATATTCCAACCTAAAAGTTTTGCTATTCACGAACAAATTAACGAATACAGAGTAATAATAAACAATGGACCGGATTCAAAGTTTTTTATTGTCATGTACAGACTACAATGCAATTCTTACTTGAATGCCTTCTTCACAGACTGGACGATTAATCAAATAAAGCAGCGCAACATTACAGTAACTAACAAATAAACCACTAACTTACGTGTACTATTAGAGCATTTATGTAATTTATTTAAACTTTATTTTACCAGGTAAATTAACTGAAAACCAGTTCTCACTGCTTTATGTGATATTCGGGAGAAATAGCAGATTACGCATCGGAACTGCCTGGGATACAAACGTCATGCGTGTAACTAAACTCTTCAGCCAATAAGGGCAAAGGTGTGTCGTCACGGAGGCGGTTCCAGTTTGTGCAGCCGGGTGAGAGGTCGCAATGCATCTAACTGTAATGCATTGCGTCAGGATCAGAATGCGTTGCTTTAAGCCAGCGCTGTAAGCAAGTCGAACGCACCCAATGACCGGACTGGGGGAACAAACTGAAACGTGGACTTAATACAGAGGACTAATGACAACAACCAGAAACAGCTGATCACATGGGGATCCCACACGGGTTTAACGAGGGGGCGTGGCACACGGAAGGAGCGGACTATCGGGGCAGGACAGGGGTAATGTTGGGATAAGATCTTTATCGTTTTGGAAGCCATTAAGAAAAAATGCTCTTGTTTTATGCTGTTCATTTTGTGTTTAAATGCTAAAAAAAATAAACACATTTAGGTGTAATTTTGGGGGCCGGGAACCAATTAATTGGTTTTCCATTATTTCTTATGGGAAAAATTTGATCAGAACTCGAACTTTTTAGGATTCGATCCGGAGTCTGGAACGGATTAAGTTCGAGAACCGAGGTACCACTGTATTTTAAAATCTTTTAAAATTCATTGGGGGGTGCAGCCGATTTTATCGTGGAGGACCACCCACTCCCCTCAAATCTTGTTGTCAGTATTACAATATTATCATACCACGTCCCAGGCCTACATTGGGCTTTCAGAAGTGAACTTAAAGAATCCAAATGAAATGGCTGCTTTTTGGTTTTTATGATGGGTAGGTTACCTGTTTGTTCCTTCTGAGGTACGTCCTGAGCTCCTCTCTTGGTTCCTCCCACCAGAGGTACAATCCGTGGTTACGCAACTCGCCAGCAGGGCGGCGGGCAGGAATGCACCGGTCGCGTTTCACTCGGAGGTGGCCGGTCCGGGCTTGTTAAGCCTCCTGCGTCATCCAGACCTTTACGAGCTTGGCGTGCTGTCCAGGACACGGGGGGGCGGGGGGGGGGCAGAGAGCACCACAAGCTTCCTGCCATTTCTGGGAACCGGTTTTGCTGCCATCCTAGTCTGACTGAGTGACTGGTCACGGCAAGTTCTGAAAGGGTCTCAAGGCTGAGCTGGAATTGTAAGCATTTTTAAACCAGCAAACTCATAGCACGCCCAGTCAGATTTATGTGATGAGCATTGATTGGTGTAAATTGCAGAGTGTACTGCATGCTTGATCATGGCATTAATTTAAACCTATACTTGACATAAGGTTGCAACTGAGCTGGCATGGTAAAAATTGGGTCTCGGTGCCACAAAGGTTTGGAAACACTGGCCTAGTGAGCCTTATTAGGTTCCAGAACCTTCGGGATTCTACTGTCAATTTTATAAACCCAAATGGACTCCACTGGATGTGTTTATAGACAATGCCAGGTTGATTAGCTGTCTGTATCATGGGTTCTCCAAGAGCTTACTTATTTTTTTGTGAGTTAAATTGAAATTAACAAATTATGCTGTTTTAAACTTTTAAATTATGCTATTCCCGGTCAGATAAGAGCCCCATTCATACATCGTGACCTCAGCTCTTCAGAAGCACCACTGTGACCCATCGATGTGCCTCAGTGCCCAACAGTGAGGTTTTTATTCCGAGCCGCTAACGACGGTGTCATGTCGAGGCTGCCTGTGACGAGGGTCCCCATCCTGCTCCCGGGGACAATTTGTTTACATGACCCCCCCCCAACTTGATGTGTGACTGTCACCCTTAGGCTTGACATAACTCCACGGCTGTACAGGACACTTCTGTTCAGCTGCACTGCTGCCTCATTCCTTGTTTTGGATGCACAGGATAAGCTATACATTTTTCCATTTGTTTTGTCTGCTTTCTTTGGATGCTTCGTGATGAGCTCCGAGTTTGAGGAGACTTCCAGGAGACCCCCGCTGCTCGGCTGGACGGAATAGCCTCAGATGTCGGCCTCCATGTCCCCGCCAGCCATTCATTAATCAGTCATCTACTTACCCGTTCTTTCATTTTTCCTTTAAGCTACCAAAACGGTAACTTCTGCTGTTTCTGCTTAAAGCCTTGGCAGTTGTCTTCGGCCTTTTTAAATGTCTTTAAGCACTAACTTGAAGTTGCGAGCAGAGGTACATCAGATTTTTTAACTTTTGGACTGCAGTTTCTCACTGCTTCGAGCGAATCTGCTGCAAATGTTGCTCTTTGTTCACTTTTTTTTTTTTTTGTCTTTGAAGTGAGATTGTGCTTCTGCTAGTCAGCTTTACCAAGTGTCTTTACCCCGTATGGTGCCCTAACCCCCTCTGGACACTCTTCAGAGCCATTTCATTTTTGACAGCTATGTCACTGCACTGTATTCGACCCCGAAGCGCAAAGCTGTCGGGCTCGAGGATGCAGCCTCTGCAGAAATGAAGTGCTGGGGTCTTCTTTTTGGTCTTGGGGAGCAGTGAACTCTCCACATAATTTCTGTTTCTCAGCAATATCAAACTTTTAACAGGAAGAATATTGGATGTGGGATAGAAGAGGGCCTACTATCATGGTGAAGTGCAATGGCTATGCATGATTTGGTTAGTTTTAAAATTTTATAGCCAAATCATTGTAGGGCAATTCCAGCATTGTGAGTGTGACATTTAAACTCGCTGGCAAAAGCAATGCTTCTGCATGTACAAGCTCTGGCAATGAGTCAGTCTGCACATCATTTTGTTTAAATATAGACAAATCCTCAAAACTGATATTCATTTACATGTTAAGTATATAGCACTTTATCAGCATTATGAAACAGACTTCGGAATGGAATTGCCCAGTAAATATTGAAAAAGTCAAAAACGGGGTCAAAAAACATTTTACTGTAGTGCTATACTGTAGTATTCTGGCATTACCCCAAGTACACCTTTAAAGCCAAATCCCCCTAGACAAACACAAAAGCAGTGAGCACCAGTGTGAGGATATGCTGTCCTGTGTGAGTAGAGGTGACACTGCTCCACCCTTGTGAGAAGATGCCCGCAGTGATCTGCTCATCACAGGGGTGGAATATCGGACCCAGGGCTCACATTTCATGAGCAAGTCTCAAGTGTGGAACCCAAAACCACGTCCTAAGCACGTGAGAAGCTTTGGGTCTGGGTCGGGCACATATGGGTATGCTTTGTACTTGGGCCTCTGTGTCTGTAATCTGAAGGTTACCGGTTCGAGTCTTGTCCTCTCTAGAACAGTCACATGTCCTTTGGGGCCCTTGAGCAAGGCTCTTAACCCCCCAAAAATGCTCCGAGGCTGCTGGATAAGTGGCATAGCTTCATCTCCAACGTGCATTTTCAGGGTTAATTTCCTGTGTGGGGAGGGCCAGTCAGGTCCTGCAGAGGCTTTGCTGATGAAGCAGTCGCCTTCCCCGAGGGCTGGCCGGCCATTGCTGAGCTCAGCGTTCTCTGTTCTCAGCTCC